ACAAAACTATTTTTGCTGCCCTTAGAAAAGCTAATGTGTATATTTTTTAGATGAATGTGCTTATAGATCAAGATGTGAAATGCTTTGCCACGGTAGATGGGAACCCTTGGATTTGGCTCAAAAGACTTGGACATGCCCACATGATATTAATTTCCAAGCTATCAAAGAAGAACTTGGTAAGAGGTCTACCAAGCCTAACATTTGTTAAAGATTTTCAATGCGAGGAGTGTGTCAAAGGTAAACAAGTCAAAAACTCTTTTAAATCCATAAATGATGTATCCATCACTAAACCCTTACAACTACTTCATCTTAATCTTTTTGGTCCTATGCGTGTTGCCTCACTAAGAGGTAAACACTATGTATTTGTTATAGTTGATAATTTTTCACGTTTTACTTAATTTTTCTTACAAATAAAGATGGATGTTTTGAAGAATTTTCTATTTCTATAAAAAGATTTGAAAATAAAAAGGATTTGATAATAAAAAGGATTTAAAAGTTGTAAAAATTCGAAGTGACCATGGTGGTGAATTTCAAAATAAAATTTTTAGTGATTTTATGACCATCATGGTATTACACATACGTTTTTCGCTCTAAGAACACCACAACAAAATGGTGTTGTTGAACAGAAAAATCGTATCATACAAGAGATGTCACGTACTATGATTAATGCTTTTGATTTGCCAAAAAAATTTTGGGCGGAAGCCGTCAACACGGCTTGCTATGTTTTAAACTGTTTTAATTAGACCTATTTTCAAGAAAACACATTATAAACTTTATTTTGGCAAAACTCTAAATATTAGCTATTTTCGAATTTTTGGTTGCAAATGTTTTATTTTGAACACAAAAGACCACCATGACAAATTTGATTCAAAGATAGACGTAGGGATATTTTTGGGATATTCATCAAAGAGTAAGGCTTATAGAGTTTTCAACAAACGAACACTCGTTGTTGAGAAATCTATAAACATTACCTTTGATAAAAATAATGATGATTTACAAGATGTTATGCCTAGGGATGATGATGACATTGAGGGAGGATTGGAACTTTTGCAAATAAATGACAATCTCTCATCGGTTGCACCAAAAGATTAAGAAGGATGACTTGAACCTAATTAAGAAGAACTCTCCAAAGCATGAAAGTTTACACCGCATTATCCTAAGGAGCAAATCATCGGAAGCCCATCAAAAGGATTTTTGACTCGCTCAAAGGCTATGAGTGAGTGTGGTAATGTTGTTTTCTTATCCCAAATTAAACCTAAACGTGTTGATGATGCTTTGAATGATAAATTTTTGGGTTTTAACTATGCATAATGAATTAAACAACTTTCGAAGAAATAATGTTTGGAAACTTATTCCTAGATCTAAAGATTTTCATGTTATTGAAACAAAATGGGTTTTTAAAAATAAACTTGATGAATTTGGCATAGTGACTAGAAATAAAGCTCGTTTAGTTGTCCAATGATACAATTAAGATGAGGACATTGATTATGACAAAACTTTTATACCGGTTGCAAGATTAGAGTCAATTAGAGTGTTTTTAGCCTTTGCTAGCTTTAAAAATTTTAAATTATTTCAAATGGATGTTAAAAATACTTTTTTGAATGGGTTTATTGAAGAAGAGGTGTATGTCAAGCAACCCACCAGTTTTATTGATCCACTATTTTCTAATCATGTTTATCGGGTACAAAAAGCTTTGTATGGGTTAAAACAAGCTCCTAGAGCTTGGTATGCTCGCCTCTCAAGTTTTCTCATTGACAATAGTTTTTCAAAATAAAAAAATGATAACACTCTATATGTTAGAAAAACAAAAAATGACTTTATTTTGGTTCAAATTTACTTCATTTTGGTTCAAATTTATGTTGATGATAATATCTTTGGTGCTACTAATAAATCATTGTGCAAGAAATTTTTAAAGGTTATGCAAGAGCAATTTGAGGTGAGCATGATGAGAGAGCTTACATTCTTTCTTAGTCTCCAAGTCAAACAAACCAATGATGAGATTTTCGTGTCACAAAGCAAATACGCTAGAGAGGGGTTGTCAAAAATTTCGTCAAATTCCAAGCACGCACTAACTCCTATGAGCACCTCCATCAAATTGGACAAGGATGAAAGTGGTGAGAAAGTAGATCAAAAGCTTTATCGATGTATGATTGGTAGTTTAATTTATCTCACCGCTAGTAGACCGGATATTATGTTTAGTGTTTGTGCATGTGCACGTTTTCAAGCTTCTCCTAGAAAATCTCACTTAATTGCGGTTAAAAGAATTATTAAGTATATAAATGGTACTATTGAAATTGGTTTGTTTTATTTAAAGAATATTAATTTTGATCTTTATGGTTATTGTGATGCTGACTTTGTCGGATGTAAAGTAGACCACAACAGTATCAGTGGCACATGTCATTTCTTAGGCAATTCACTTGTTTCTTGGTCCTCCAAGAAATAAAATTATGTTGCCTTATCCATTACGAAAGCGGAATACATTGTCGTCGGCTTATATTGTGCACAATTATTATGAATGAAACAAAATTTAGTTGACTTTGATTTACATTTTCATGATACAAAGATATTTTGTGATAATACTAATGCAATAAATATTTCAAAAAAATATGTTTTACATTCTAGAACCAAGCACATAAATGTACGCCACTATTTCTTACGTGATCATGTAGAGAGGAAAGATGTATCCCTTGTTTATATTGATACTAAATCACAATTGGCGGACATCTTTATCAAACCTCTTAGTGAAGAAGATTTTTGTCGTATAAGAAATGAGTTAGGCATGTGCATCCTTTGATTGATTGTTTTGATGATTTTTGCTTGCTCTTGGTTTTTGGTTTAACATTTTCATATCTTAATATTTTATTATTCGCACTCATTGTCATAACATGTTTGAACACACAATGATACTTAAAGGAGTGGTTGGGAGAGACCGTGTCAATTCCAAGAGGAGTGGGTTGGTAGTAAAAAGCCTAGGGAGATGTCGTAAATCCAAACACTTGAGGAATGTGACACGGGTAGGCCAACACTTAGAGAAGCACCTTGTGGGTTTTACAACATGTATATCGATTTTTTAACCTCATTTTAATGTTGACAAAGGGGGATAAATATCTCCTCTCCTTGTGCATATAGATAGGGGGAGAGTCTTATAGATAGGGAAAGCAACTATCTATAAGTAGAAATTTCATTTTATTTTTACTCCTTTATAATGATGGTTTGTCATCATAAAAAAAGGGGAGATTGTTAGGTCTCTTGTTTTGATGATGATTTACAAACCCCATTATATATACTAATTGTTTGTTGAGTGATATAATACAAAATGTATTTTATCAAGGAATTGAGTGTCACAATTGGAGGATGGATGGAACTTGCGCCGTAACGATGATATCCAAGGAGGTGGAGACAAGTTGATGAAGAAAAACTATCTAAAGAGCAACGTATACAAGTTGATGAAGAAAAACTATCTAAAGAGCAACGTATACAAGAGGAGCTTCATCAACAAATTAGAAAATATCGAGCTTTAAGAGTTGTATACATATGTGAGCGATATTTGTATTTTTTTACTTTCTCTCTAGATCATAATGTAGGCAAGAAACAAAGTAGATAATATTTGAAGCAATTGTGGTTCTCACACACACACTTTTAAAATCACATTTTTGACCAATTTTGAAAAATGATAAGCTTTTATTTTTAGGAAATGATTTTTTAAAAATTCCTTTTCTAACATGTTTATAAACATTTTTCAAAGTTTGACATTTTTTGAAATTTAGTTGCTATTTTTAAAGACACATCAAAAATCAAATTTTTATTTTTGAATAGGCTATGTTCATGTTATCAGTCGACTGAACAGTGTTATCAGTTGACTGAAGAAAATGCCTGGAAAGTGCAGAAAGTTTTTGCTCAGTCGACTGATGAACCATCAGTTGACCGAAACAGGTCATCAGTCGACTGATGAGTTCATCAGTCGACCGATGAAGGTTGAGTTGTCTGTAACGATCAGCTCATTAACCGACTGAATAGTACCATCAGTCAATTGATAACATTGTGACGGCTAGTTTCTGAGTTTCTAGATTTTGCGGGATTTTGGGATTTGTTTTGGATTTGGGGTATTGTTTTGGCTTCCTATATATATCCTACACCTCTCTTTAGCTTAGTAACTAAGCAAGCAAGAAAAATTCTTTGAGTTTGTGTTTATTGTGTGTTTTGAGCTTAAACTCTCATTCTTTTCAATTTCGGATTTACACTTTCAATACATACAACCCCAAGCTTCATTTGTAATCTCTTAATCCTTGCCATAGGGGTGTTGTAAGAGAGATTTTTTTCATTTTATTCTACTGTGTGAAGAGCTTGATCTCGAGGAGATCAAATTGTGTACTTGTGAGATCTTCGGGGGAGATCGTTGTGAAGAAGTTCTGATTTTCAAACTGGATGTGTTTAGTGGATTACCATCGAGAGAGATGATCAGGAACATAGGTCGTGAGAACCAAACCTCGTGAACACATCGGCGTGCAATTTGGATAACTATTCTCTCTCACTTATTTATTGCTATAGTTTTAAATTTGTGTCTTATGTTGCATTGAATTTCATAAATTTTATATTTATTGTTTGATTACCCTATTCAACCCCCCCCCCCCCCACGCGAGGGTCGACCTCCGCGTTTAGCTGTTGAAACGCGAGGGTCGACCTCCGTGTTTGGCTGATGAAACGTGAGGGTCGACCTCCGCGTTTAGTTGTTGAAATGTGAGGGTCACGTTTGCCTTTGGAGATGCAAAGATCGTCAATTTGTAATTTCTGTGTCACCTCTGCATCAAGTATTCTCATAATACAAAGGTCGTCATCTTGTAACCCCTGTACTCTGGCTTATAAAGATGTGAGTCATCAAATTATAACTCTCGTCTGTTGTCATGAAAATCGTCAGACTGTAACTTTTATCGTCAGTGTTTTGCGAGAATCACCTATCTGCAGTAATTTTTAGACAACCTACAAACACAGACTGCAAAAGATCAGAAAATATACTCACTGCAGTTCTATTTATTCAAGGAGTTTCAATCAATCTAGTGATTGCAGAATGTATAAGAAACTCAATCTCAATCATGTTCATACTAAGTCACCGTAGACCAGAACTTAGATTAACTTCGCATCAGATCTTGCTGGCAAAAGCAAGACCTTCCTTCTTCAGTAGTTCAAGGTCCTGGACCGGAGGCTGGACCTTTGCTACTTTGGCTATCGCCTTGTTTTCATCAGGAGACCCAGATTCCAAGAAAGCCCCAACGATTTTACTATCTTTGATCCAATAACTACCAAACTTAGGCTTAGCGGATGCAGGATCGCTGTCACCAAAAAGAATTGTATCTCCCACATTATCACCATAGAACTGCCATGAGAGATCAAACGACCGAGAGTAGAAGAATGGAAGGTAGTCGTATTCCTCGATTGTTTTCCCTTCTTCATTTGCCTTGATTGCCTAAATTGTGAGAGAACAAAAAAATAATTAACTGAAGAATTCAGTATAACAAATATTATTAACTATAGAAAAAGAAATACCTTCACAGCTTGCTCAGCTGATTTTCTGGAATGATCAACGTGCTCTACTCTCCTTATTTCGTTGTACATCTTCATTGGAAAGGTAGCGACATCACCCACAGCATAAACACCAGAAACATTTGTCTTGAAGAATCCATCGGTCTGTAGTTGTGAGATATTATGTCAACTCAATGGGTAAAGAACCAAATCAGACGGGACTTGTAGAAATCATAATATGCTTAGTAGCATAATGCTTCATGTATGAAAGGAAATTAAATTAAACCATGATTTGTCTACTTTAAAGGCACCTTCTAAAAAAACTCATCTTGTGCAATGATTATGATAGTTATGATCTATAGCCTTCATGCTATCTCGTCAAATGCTTGGATCTTAACGTTCAGGATGAAAAAAGCTGGATGTTGTTAAAATACAATTGAAAGAAACCAAATGAACTGACCTTAATTCCACCTTTCTCCTCTTCAACTTGGCCTTTGAAAAGTGTAACAAGTGGTTTTGCACCGACACCGACAACAACAATATCGGCATCAAGCACCCTACCATCCTTCAATTTCACTGCTGTCACCTGATTTATATAGAGTATTAATCATCTAAGTACAAGTGGGAATTTCCATCCTGATGAAACTTCTCCATCATTTAATGTTATAAAGAACTTACATCCCCATTAGAATTAGAGTCAAATCCAACAGCAACTGTTCCCTTAATTATTTTGACTCCTTTGTTGGCATAATAGCCCTCATAGAATGCAGCAATTTCTGGAGTGAAAAGCCGAGGCACTGCAAGCAATAAAACATATATTAGGATCCAAGGTATTATATTCAAGTACTCACAGAAGGTCCTTACGAGAAAATTTTGCAAAAGTCTAAAAGATATGAGTTACAAACGGCTAAGCAAACTTGAGTACCAACCACAAAACGAACTGGTCAGTTGATTTTACATTTAAATAAGAGAATTCCAAGAAACCACTAAACTGACCGGAGCTAGCAAGCTTCCAATGGTGGACATAAAAGGATACTTACTGCACCAAGGTTCAGGATACACCATCGTGACATCAAGATTATTAATTCTCAAAGCAGCGGCACATTCAAGTCCAATGTAACCTCCTCCAACAATAACAGCTTTTCCATCCTTCTTCGCTTGTATTGCTGCTACAAGCTTATCAGCATCATCGATCTCTCTCAAATAGAATATATTGTTTGCATTTGCTCCTTGAACACCAAAATCACTTAGTCTTATCACCTGAATTCCACAGATAACAGTAAGGTAAGTAAAGGAAAGAAAGGATGCAAAAAAACAAGGTATTGATCAAGACACAGACGGCGTATTTACAAAATCAAACCACCAGATAGTTAAGAAAAAATTAAAGGCTTTAGTAGGCATGAGAAAATAAAGAATGACAACTAATCACCTTTCTATGAGCATATTAAAACTAGAATTTGTTTGGCGCTAAGAAACAATCTAAAGCAAATCTTTTCACATATTATCTTAGTGCATACCGTGGAGCCAGTAGCAATTATCAAGACATCATAAGTGAAGTTTGTACTGGATGCACTGGTCAGAGTCTTGGAGGCAAGATCAACTTTAACAATCTCGGTACTGAGAATCAGCTCAATACCTGCATTCCAAAGAAGTAATGCTTAGCTTTACGTTATCATTTACATATAAACTACTTTTCTTTCTTCCATAGATGTTCCAAATTTTATATGCATATATTAGCAACTGGATGATAGCTATCCAATCAGCTTCACTACTTGTCCAGCCAGCGTGACGGTAATATGCATACAGCCAGTGATTGACTGATTTCTCCTTCTTACATGCACAAGACTTACCCCATATCACTACAAAACTAATTTAGGTAGATATCTTTCTACCCACTACTGAACAAATTCCTTTTAATAAAATTTCCCGATGAAAAGCTCATGTGCACAAAGCTATCATGAGAAGCCTGAAACCCTTAAAATTCAAAAGTCTGTAACAATATAAATCATCTTTAAACATTAAATGAAAACAGAATTATGAGAAAAAATAATTTTCACCACCTTTTTCTGTGTACCATTCAGGAAGTAATCGCTCTCCCCCACTACCGACACAAACATGAAAACCTGGAAGTCTTGCAGCCCCTGGTAAAAAAACAAGATTCCGCATCAGCACAACCTCCTCAAGTTAAAAAACAAGTAAAGCATGCAACATTGACATATGTCGTATTTTCCGGGTTCATGTTTAAAAAAAATGACACTTCCAAAGAAATATAAAAGATAAGTACGCTATACAATCAGCGCAATATGTTAGGTGTAACTTTAACAAGAAACAACTTTACATGACTTCCAACTTATGCATTTCTTCTTTACCTTGGTTGTATGGTTACCAACTTGCTCTTATAATGGTTAGCCATTGAGATACTTACAAAACTTTTATGCCCATTTTTTGTGGTTGGCTGCATTAGTCCTATTCATCCATTCGGTTCTAATTTAGTGCATCTCCTTCATTACGTTAACTATTAGTGCATCTCCAAATTCTTTTAGATCTATCTCTAGATCTCTTTGCCCCATTAACTATAAATGATATAGTAATATGAAAATAAATGTTTCACTGGAAAATATAACCAAGAACTGCATTTGCTTAAAATGTTTTATCAGCATAATTCATACAGGAAGATCTCAGTACGCTTTATAATACACATGAACCTACCAAGTGTGCTGACACAGACACAAAAATCCTCACATGTCGTGTGTGCGTGTGTGTGTGTGTTATCAGCATAATTCATACAGGAAGATCTCAGTATGCTCTACAATACACATGAACCTACCAATAAATAGTGTGCTGACATAGAAACCCAAAAATTCTCACGTGATGTGTGTGTGTGAACAGTAAACATTAAGAACATGACAATCACTCATTTTGATTATAACTTATAGAACCTACCTTGAGGGAAAAGGTATGCCTTGCTAAGTGCTGGACGTTCATAAGGAGCAACCTGAAAGATTGGAGGGGGAAAAGGAAGAAGAAGAAGCAAATGGTGATACATGCTCAGAAACATTTAAAGTACAGAAGATAATTAAACTTATCAAACTTCCAAACAATCAACCACTATGTAGATAGACAATAAGAAAAAAACAATTATATATGTATCACTCAAAGTTTAGTAGTTAATACTTTGTGAAGTCAACTTGAGAACTCTCTAGGTTTCTCATCAAAGACCAATAATGTCAGTGTCTTCATAGATTGTTCACAGCATAATTGAAAGGACAAACAACCAAATTACCCCTTAAAATGTTAACTCTCAACTTCCCGAAGTGACAGTGCATTTTTTGCACTTCTTCATGGTATTTTATAAGTTTTCCCCCCACCCCACAAAAGCTATTTTTTTAAAAAAAATCCCAACTACTTCACCCCAGAAGTTTTTACCCTTTAACTAATTTCTGGAATTTAAAAAATCATTTTTGGTTTGCAGAAAATACAAAAAATGCCAAAAACGCAATCATGTCATCAATCTATAAAATATTTGATTGTGAGCTAAGAAAATGAACACATTGGGCCCATACACATGTTTTAGGACGAAAATAGGTAAATGGATAATTTAGGTGGGGAGTTGAGAGTTCACAATACTTTATGGAGGATTTAGTTATTTTTTAATAATTTAAATACTATACGTCCCATCTTGGAGCCAAACTTACGGATATACCAAGCGTTCATAAGACTAAACCTAAAAGAGTAACTTTACTCTGCAGCTTATACTATTGAAAGTCACCAAATCATTCCCATAATTGCATAAATCCTTCTATTCAGCATGGTTTTAAATATCAATTATCGGAGATTTATCAGACGAACAAAATCCATATCGAATACCGAATACGGGGATATATCCGTGATAAGTAGTATTTATCAGAGTGTCATTTTGGATGGTGTGCATATGTAATAAAATGTAATCTAACCATACTAAATGAATTATAAACATATCAGACAAAGTCGAGGGCATCCGATGCGTCAATGGAGAGCAATGTTGATGTCGAAGTTCATACTTGAAGTCTAGACTTAAACTTGAAGTCTTAGAGTTGAAGTTGATGGAGAATAAGTGTACAGATGAAGAGGGAGAAAAGAGAAGGGGATAAAGAATGAAGGAAGGAGTCGAGGTCGATGGACAATGGAGGAGGGAGTTGAAGTTGATTTGTGGTTTTAGGGCACAGCAACAAAGGGGGGAGAAACAACAGAGAGGACGTGTTAGGGCTAATTTAATTAAGAAAGGATAGGGTCTGGTTTTAGTGTTTGGGTGAATGAGGCTGGGTTTATAGTGTGTTGGTTATGTGCCCATTGCCCAAAATCCGAAACCAATCTAAACATAACTTGTGCGATAATTCTAATTTTTTGACTGACAAACTCGGTCAATATATCACTTTATCGCCAATAAACAGCCCAAAACGATAACCAATATACATTGCAATTATCCTAGCAGAGGGGTCAAAAACTGATAACTCGCCGATAAATCGATATTATCGGCCGATATTTAAAACATTGCTATTTGATCAAAACGAACTGAAATTTTTGATCTTATCTACCTTATATGTCTAGACTGGAGCCTACACAAGATCAAAATGTTTCCGACAGAAAATAACATGCAAGTAAATCTTTCCTCGGACGCAACGCATGTTATTATTTGACTATATACTTATAAAGTATGTGCATTAGCAATAAAGAAATTGAATCAGATTACACACTTATCATCAAACATAATGCTACACCCTATTTCTACCAAGAGGCACGTTGACTGAAGAACACTAATCAACAGGTTAGTTGCTAGTTGGCACATGCCATCATATTCATTTTCCTAACGCCAACTTCTGTATCTAGTAATTTGATGTTATTGAGCAAGGTTTTAGCTTCAGCATGTAACAGGAGATGCATATAGAAGACCTATTGATAGAAACAAAGGAGAGAGATTGCATGCCAGCACAACAGGCAACATATCAACAACGCCACATTTATCGTCTTGGTCAATTAAGAGTCATCCGTTGTTTATGGCCTCCATCCATTTTTATTTATTTAGGTCTCACTCCACCACACATTATTCCATTATTTACAGTCCTATTGCTCCTCGCCCTGTTCCATCAACCACCTTGCCCGGTTCTTTTTCATCTTACCCTTTAACTTAAGTTACTTCCACCTTTTGAGGACACTCATTTCTCATCTTCTGTATTTCTCAGCACATTACCACTCGTTTCTGGAAACAACATTCAGAGAAACCAACAGGCTTATGAATTTATGATAAAGTTTCCTGGTTTATTATAAATCTGAACAAATGCTTTCTATCAAAATTGGCTTTTCCTGTTTTATGCCAGATTAGCAAAGAACAAAAATCTGGTGCAAATAGCATTCAATAAATTACTCCCTAGTCCCCAACTTCCATTGAATCCTTGATAAAGTATCACGACACAGATTGTGTTAGTATTTGTTTGTAAAAACAAGATAGTCTCACATCGGACATTTGAGCATTCTTTTAGAGGTTTAAAAGCATTTAATGATTATTGGGCTTTGATAAATAGATAAAAGTATAGGCTTCTAGTGGGTAGCGCGAATAATGCGCGATTTTAACACGATTATTAGTCGTACTTAGCATTTTGCACGCTTGCCGCTGTCGCTTAAATATTCTAACTTTTTTAGTATATATATTTTGAGTACATTATTTTTTATTATTATTTTAAATTTTTGTATTTATCAAAATATGAATAGACAAGTCACTGTTGAAAAGTGTGTTTTTTTCCAAGGGGTATTTTGAAAAGTTATGACTGTTGGAAGCACATTTTCAAACCTATAAATAGTTTATGAATTCAGATATCTTCACTTCACTTCTTTCTCAAAACTTTTCTCTAAAAAAGATCTGCAATACTACAAACTTGTTTCACAAAGAGTTTGTGAAAAATTCCAGATTTGCTTGCTGGAATTTTCATTTTGTTGTATCCAGGGCCGGCCCCGAGCTTTGGGTTGCCCTAACCCAATCCAATTTTGATTGCCCCTTATATTAAAAATTTGGTACGAACAATAACGATAAAAATGAATACATATAATACAATTTAGCGTTCTATATTAGGCTCAAACTGATAATATTCTCATGCAAAATCAATATTTATATAAGAAGAGATTACATTTGTACTATAATTCCCATCAAAGAAAAATACTTCTCCTTGAATTCTTTGAAGCAAATTCTTCAATTAAGTCATCATACTCAAGTTTCTCTAAGTATTCATTTTCAATTGATATCATTGCAGCAAATTCTTCAATTAAGTCATCATACTCAAGTTTCTCTAAGTATTCATTTTCAATTGATATCATTGCTAATCCATTCAATCGTTCCTGTGACATGATAGTGCGAAGATAACTTTTTATCAATTTCAACTTGGAAAAACTTTTCTCCGCCGTGGCAACCGTAACTGGGATAGTTAACAAAATCCGATAAGCAACTCATGCACATTGAAAACCACCATCATCCCAATAAGATCTTATGAAGTCAATGATGTCTATTGATTTAGTCACTTCCTTCGACAATATTGTTTGCAAAGCTCGTAGGTCATTGAATAAATATTTCCCATGTATATCACATTGTTGGTTGTGTTCTAAGTATCTTCGTAATTTAATGCAATGTTCCATTAATTTTTCTTCACCAATGCTCATGAACTTTGCATTAAACAAAAAACCGAAGATTTCTTCATAGAGCTCGAATTGTTCAAAACGATCTTTGAGTGATGTAAGAGCTTGATCAATAATGTGGAGGAAATAGGAAACTCTAAAATTATCCTCCGGTGATTGACTACCTTCAACATTCGCTTCCACATCCTCATCAAAATGCTTCTTTCTACGATCCACTCTTTTTATCGGAAATGTCGGATCGATACCAACATCATTAGCAAGTTCATTGGCTTCTTTCATCGTGTTTTCAAAACCATCTTCCCTAAACTTTTGAAAGAAAACAATAAGCTCGTTTATTCTTGTAATTGTATCCTCCAAATTCATCTCTTCTTGTTGAAGAACTTTGCTAACTCGATTGACTTTATCTAAAATCTTATACCAAATACACAAGCTAATCAAGAACTCAAAATCCTCCAAAGCATTTTTACACAAGCCTTTAGCTTCTGCCATCACAATGTCCTCTTTAGAACTATTTGCAATTTCAATCAAAGCGTCTCTCAACTCCGGTGCTTGATATCGGATTGCTTTAACACTTTCAACATGACTTTCCCAACGAGTAACCGACAATGGCTTTGGTGTCAGACCTTTTACATATGTTTTAAGAACATCCCACCGATGTGTTGATCCAGCAAACAAATTGTAAACCTTTTGCACATATGCAAAAAAAATTCTAGCTTTGACACAAGATTTTGCCATATCACATAGTGCAAGGTTTAAGCTATGGCACTCACATGGTGTATAAAAAGCTCGAGGATTTATGTCAAGAAGTCTTCTTTGTACACCTTGATGTTTACCTTTCATATTTGATCCATTGTCATAACCTTGACCTCTTATATCATCAATGTTGAGATTAAGTTCATTCAAAGTATCTTCAAGTTGATTGAAAAGCCCAAGTCCCGACGTGTCATCAACCTTTATAAATCCAAGAAAAAACTCTTCCACCTTGACTTGATTTGTATCTTCAATATCCACACATCTAATGATAATTAACATTTGCTCCTCGTGGCTTAAATCCGGCGTACAATCAAGAATAACTGAAAAATATTTTGCTTTTGAAATTTTGTCAAGAATTTTTGCTTTGATCTCATTGGCCAACAAAATTATCAATTCATTTTGAATTTTATGGCTAAGATAATGGTTCTGAACTTCTTTATCTACCACACGCCGAACATGTCTTGCATAATTGGATCGAATTCTGCAATGAACTCTATAAGTTGACAAAAAAGTTCGTTGTTCTTCTCATAAATCTTCTCATTAGTTCCACGAAATGGCAAACCATTTCGAGAAAGAGTCTTC